TTATTCCTGAAGTCCTAAAAGATTTTAATAATTTGCGATATTTGATAAATGGGCATAATGTGTTGTTTGTGCAAAGATGAACTGCAAGGAGAGGCAGATTATATTTGTTTTGAAAGGTATAAATACTTAGTTCAAATCTTCACTGACTATGGGCGCATTGTTGTTAGCGGAGAACTATTTATTTATTACTTTTATGATAGATAACAAGCTTCTTGCATATGAAGAAATAGTTTTCGGTTTAGATTGCTTGCGATCATTATTGTTGATACAGCTTTATTTGTCAGGAAAAAAAAAAAAAAAAGAGAGAGGGAGAGAGCAAGCCTGGATAAGATATTTTTGACCTCTGCTCTCATCACCTCAAATGGGCTCATTTCTGTGCAAAACCGCTCTATGCTAAAACCATTTGTTTGATTTTTATAAACTTCTGAACAATATACAATCTATTATTCATAATTTTAGCACTTTAAATTAAAATAATATTTGCGGAATTTCTAATTTTACGCTTTAATTTAGTTTGAATTCCTATTGTTGTTACTTATAATCACTTGTCTGACAGTAACATCGCCCACGAAATCCCTCGTGGCAAGAAGCGTACGATACGCTGCCGTTGGCAACAGCCTTGAGCACCATACACGTGACAGTGTGATTTAGCTCAGTTCCGCCCCCAATTTTGATGGAGAGCAACTCGGGGGGAGACGGGTCTCTGTCCTTTCTCCTCTTCCACCAAACCATACGAGAGGATTCGCCGCATATTTAGAATGCCGCACCGACACTACACATTTACAAACATCCATGCCTTCTCCGGGATTCGAACCGTGGCCACTTCGGCACGGTAGTCAGCGACGCTAACCACTACGCTCTAGAATTTGTTAAATTCCTGGAATATACCGTATGACTCTGATTTTCTCTTCTGACATATTCTCACTCATTGGCTATTTCAGTGTTGATTATTTCACAAAAGTAATAAAACGTTCCACCTAACTGTTAGCAACAAATGTGAAGTAATCTCCAAGGATAATGCTCTAGAAAGATATGAACCTTATACTGTTCAAAAGTTAATAACTACATAAGGAAATACGCGTATGTCATAGATTTCAGATAGAGAAAATACTGATCACAAAGAAATGTCATTTTACAATTTTGATATAGCTGATTCTTCTCGCATGAAAATTCACTTATTTTACACCGAGTTTGCTTATCGGCCTGCTATTGTAACCATTATGCATGAATAGTTACAGTTATAGAGAGAAAACTATAGTACGAGTACAAAATAAAATTTTGGATGTTTATGATTTAGCTTGTAGATATTTGAAATTTATCTTCCAGACACTATTATTAAAAATACAATAACCTGGTAAAATTGTACACATTACATTTATACAGACAGGTGTTATTCAATGAAGTGGGTTCACAAAAAAGATGAACCTCCAAAATCATGACTGAAATATGCTTGCTCAAGATGCCATCAGCTACAATTTGTGAACAAAAAAATAATCATTCACACATTCATCAAAATCAGTCTTCGACTACCGATCAACTATTGAAATCGGTAAATCACATGATCAGCGAGTGCACTGCAAAGCCTTTCGTAGTTTTTAAAATGATTTTTTGAGAAAAAAATTCTGCCTAAATATTTCTCTTCTATCTATCTATCCATCTGTCTATCTATCTACGTATATATAATATAGCACAATTATTTCTTTACGATATTTCTCAAAACCTTGCACATGCCTAATACATGCAATGCTTTAAAGTGTATAGCAGTGCCAGTTTACAGCCTCTCCCATATTGAATAGCTTTGGATAAATAAACGTTGAGCTCGCTATTACTTTATCTTGCCTTATTTGGTTGAGATTTATTTCTTCCTTTTAATACATTCATTTTACTGTAAAAGGATAAAAAACTGGAGTTATAAATTTCTATTATATTTCCTCTTCCATCAACGAATGAACTAAAGCACCATCCCTAGTGTACTAGTACAGCAAATATTAATGCATAAAAATTCTTATCCTATTATGTTTTATTACCAGTTAAGTAGTACTGTTTCTAACCACTAATTCTTATTTACGATAATGAAATTATTCGTAAGCCTACCAATATCGATACTTTTCGTCAAAAATGTATTATACAGTACGTATATTATATATGTAACTATAAATAAGAAAGTCTAAGCCTACCAATATCGATACTTTTCGTCAAAAATGTATTATACATAGTACGTATATTATATATGTAACTATAAATAAAAAAGAAAAGAAAAAGAAAAATGTAAAAATAAAAACTACTAAAATCACATAACTTCATGAAATTACTGTAAATAAATATAGGAAAGTAAATTATACGTGAATGTTTGCCTTTCAACAGTGGATAGCTGCCTAAAAAAATTTCATAAATCATTGACAAGGATTGAGAATATCATAATGCGCGATACAGAATACGATATTTTGAACCTACTTCAGTAACATGCAGATTTTTTTCAGGATTAGACAGCTATCCACTGTCAAAACATAAAAGTTTATATTAAATTTATTCCTTTATATATATAAAAGAGAGGAAATTTACGTAACAGTAGTTCGTTTATATAATACGATAGTGAAAATTATGAAAGTCACACATATACGTGTATGTATGCATATTAAAAGAGATTATCCCCTTTTGTCCCCTTGGAAAACAAAGGGAGAAAATATTGTAATTATAAAATTTTATATATAAGAACAACGCACTATAAGAAGATAATTATTATATTCTTTGCGATTTGTCATTGCAAGCTCCAGGGGCGTAGTTTGAGGGGAGCAAGGGGGGCATCTGTCCCCTGGCGCAGAATCCAAGTGGCGCCTAACTGATGTTACGACATTTTAGAATTACATGTTTTCCATCCTTGGCAAGCAGTAGGGGGCGCGAAATCTTCAGTTGTCCCTGGGCGCTGAAAGTTCGCTTAGAATGTGCGCGAATATTTAGATTTTAGAAACGCGTTTCATTTTACTTCTTGGCAAAACGGAACTTCATACCAGAAATAACATATTGTTACGGAATTGTTGTTATAATTAGCATAACAACTACAGTAAAGCAAAATTAAAAAAAAAAAAAAAAAAAGACCGGCAGTGATTATTTAGTTTCATAACACCGTAGACATACATATATTAACGAAAACTGACATAGTGCTTTAACATAGCTTTTTATTTTATGCAGTAGGAGCAATAACATTTGGGCAAAAGTTTTACGTTTCCCATATCATATTAATGTAAGCTTTTCGTACATAGAAATAAAATAAAAACTACAACGAATCACCGAATGCAAAGATTTTACACTTTCTGAACGTCCTGTAATGAGCTCAAAATGCCTGCATTTTAGGAGCAGCAATGTTTTTAAACAAAACAGCAATAACTGCATTCTACAATTTAAATTATTGTTGTAATTTACAACAAGAGAAATACGTGTTTCAGTTTCTGCCGAATCTCTTCAAACAGTAATAACCGTCATAAACAAAACTGCGGTAACAAAGATGCACAACAAAATACCAGACCACTGGTAAATAAATAAAATCCTAAAAGCTGTGTTATAAAATTATATAATTTAGTATTCCTGTCTAAATTTTAGCATTTTCAAATTCGTGATAAATTTAAGATATATAAGTTAGTTGAAGGATAGAATGAATAATTTTGAACTAAACACTTGACACCAGATTTTTCGCTTATTTGCATTAAAACTTAAATAATGTATTTTAGAACATAATGGACATTTTCTGTTGAAAAGGTATGAATAAATGTTTGAAAACCTTTATAATCAGTTATTGCAATATGTCTGCAATGTAGAAAAAATCAGTTTCTTCCAATAATTCTATTGCACATTTCTATATAAAATATTAAATACTATTTTATAACTCAATGCTGAAACTACAACAGTGCACCAATATTTTTCATTTAACTGACATCACTTTTTGTTCAGGTTTTCTACTTTGAGTATAGCTCTTATGTGATTTATGTAAAAGTATAGTAATGTGTTTTAACTTTTATTACTAATATAACATGTTGATAAAAATGCATAAATTCATAAAGTATGTAATCTGACTTCCTGAGTTATGGATATTTTTAAATATGACACACGCAAATGCTGTCTATTATTATATTTTAATGTTTCATGATATAGCTTGCGTGATAGTAAAAAACACCTCTTTTGCATTCAAGCACATAATATACTTGCAGTCTCCCAGTATGAGAAACCACCTAATGAAAACTAGTTAACACTGTTGCCACTCTGACTTAAAAATTTTACGCACATAATTTTACCTCAACAGTTAGAGGTGAAATAAAATATTACCCTTTTAGACGTTTGCGATTTATCTTTTTAATTTCAATTTAAACTGATGTAACGACATTTACTTAATATTTAAATGCGTGCACATTTTATCAGAAGCAAATATGAAGTTGAAGATTGAGCAGATATCCGAGACTGACAAATGTCATTCTTCTGCAATAAAGTAAACAATTAACGTTTTAAGAAAAACAAGTTTGTTAAGCTCTGTTTCAATTTTTTAAATTCAAAATATGCTGCTTATTTTTCTGATACATTGCATATCTATAATGTTGTAAAGATTTTAGAAATACTCGAAACAAATATAAAAATTAATATAAGAGTGTTATTTTTTTTAATACCGCAAAAGGTGCTCTTCTAATGCTTTGTATGTGTTAAGAATCCCTTAAATATATTGTAGTATTTGTAAAATCATAATAATTTTAATGAATTTATTTGTTTTTATTTTATCTCAGGAATAAGCGTATTCGTGTGAAACTTTTAGCAAAATTACTTAATATATAATTATGCGTTGAATTAAGAACAAATTATGATGTTTCTGATACTATAAACAACATAGCATTTCTGGTTTCAACTCGAAAACAGTTTATGCTGTCTGTGATTGCCTAATGTGCCAGCAGTACAGATCGTCATCAGAAAAGCATGCATGTGTTCGCCGGCAAGTTAGAAAGTTAATAAAAGCTTCTTACCTCCATTAAGATATCCAGTTATAGCAAATGCGAATTGGAAATTGACTCCGAAATGAGCAGAACAAGTCGAAAGAGTTTTAGTGCAGACATTGCGCCGTTTCGGCGCCGCATTACAAAAATTTTTGCCTCTCTTCCGGACGTGTGCTCAACTGTGTGTGAACGTAGACCCGACAACACCATATACTTCACTCCGCGAAGGCAAGCAAGCCTCTAGTGGAAGTTCTAGTGGAGACTTTTATTCTACTACTCACCCCTGATAGCGGGCCTCTCTTTTTCATTTATCTTTTTCCCTTTACGACAGTTTCATCCCGCCCTGGTTTGCCCCCTTTCTTTTTCTCTCTCCTTATTCCATCTGAGTAAGCTTAACTGCAGGGGCTGTGCAAAAACTTCCAAGCGGGTAGAAAAATCTAACCTACGAAACAACTTGCCCAGTTCATAAACAGTATTTCCTTCGCTTACTGTGGGTTCCCCCTCCTCCTCTGTGCGTTAACGTTTGCTCCGCTATTAAATTAGCTACTTTTTATATGCTGTTCTTTTTAATAATAAAAAAAGGATAAAACTTTCTTTCATAACAGTGCATTTTTATTTAATGAATACAAATTGAGCATTCCTTTTTAACGAACTGATTGTTGTAGATGCATTCCTTGAAAGCAGCTGGAAGTGTAGCACCAGCAATACACTTTCATATAAATATGGACTTAAAAGTATATTATATAACAGAGACAGTACATCAACAAATATTATAAAAGAGTAAGCAAACAGCTGCATCCCACTTCGTCAAGATTATGCTGAAATAAAAATCGAAATTTTGGAGAAGGGAACTAGCTACTAGGACATGCATATCATTGTAGGTACAACTGATTAGTAACTGAAAAACAATTCCAAACTTTTGGATAATTTCGAAAGGAAATTTACAATTTCACTTAAAGGAAAGTATCTTTCGAAACATTTATAAATGAAAAGCAGAATTTCTGTACAGCATCAATGTAATAACACAACACTCTTGTGTTTTCATTAACGTCAATGCATCATCTATAATGCTGTGCATTGTATGAAGATTACCATACGCGTAAGTATAAGTAGAATCTAAAACAAATCTATGTGTTTAATACAATTATCACAGTTGTTTAAGCCTGACAGGAGGATTACCAGGTAAGTTTTACAAAGCTGAATATGAATATATATCAAATTTAACTCTTATCAAATTCGTGCATAAAGAATAAAATATTTATATTAAAATTTGTTTAAAATGCTCAAGATTTTACAATTGTAATTTACTCTTTATATCTCTGCGTATTTCACAAATTTGTGTATGACGATTAGTTTATTTGTTTTAAAAACATTTTAGTGTAGATCATGTAGACAATAATAAACAAAAGAAGTCTCAGGTATTACATTACCCACAGTCTTCGCAGGTGACTTGTTGCAGACTACCACTTGCAAGTTCTGCAACATTTAGTTTGTTTTATGAATTACTTATTTAATGAAATAGCTTATAAGAGTAAAACAAATGCTGTTAGAAGTAGAAAATGAACTAAAGTATTATCTCCAAACAATTAATTGCTTCAACGTCCGTGTTCTTTTCTAAATTTAATGTTGAAACGCTTTTTTTGCACATTAAGAAATTAATCAAAAGTCTCAGAAAAAATTTACTGTTTGCACTATCAAACTGTATGGAAAAAAATTCTTTTAAATAAAATTAGTACAAAACTTTTAACTTAATTTCTGATGTTTCGTCGAATTTTCGAAAAAAGCTGGATTTCCCCCCCTCAAATATCTGAAATCTATGATTTTTAAACTCCAATATTTAAAAATGTATTGTTTACAAAGTTTTGAAATTTTAACAGCTTAAACAAAACTTTCGCCGTTTTTTAAAACAAGAATCATAAAAAGATATTAATTGGTGATTTTCTACATTTAAAAAGAAAATATGTTACAATACGAAACAGAAGGGGAATTTTCGGTACTTCATTGTTGATGGCTTAGAAACATGATCTCAAGGTTATAATGCCATCACCTCACACTTTTTTCTTGCTTCTGTATACGTTTCTCTAAAATTTATTTTATTTATTTATTAATTGAATTCCCTTTGTTAAAGAAATGAAGTTTATTATAGAAGTGTTCTACCATTTTAAAACTACTTTATTCCTCACCTGTTTTAATAGATAGATTTCGCATTTATAATTAATTTTATTAATCTTTGAAACAACAAAACTGATTAGAGTGTAAAATTATTTTCAATGAAATTCAATGAAATTTATTTTCAATTAATTCATTTTTATTTTTTTCCATTTCATAAGTTTATATATATTTCAGTAATTAATTTTAAAAGTTGATTTTCTTAATTTTATCGTGCTACGCAATAAATTACATTTTTACGGTATTTTTAAATTTTAACATCCAAAAATGTATCTGTTTTACAGATTTGAAATTTTCAAAAGGTTATAAAATAAACTCTTCATCCTTTTTTAAAACAAAAATGATTAAAAAATTATTAATTCAACTACTTTCTAGAATTTTCTTAAAACTACTCTTGTTCTTTTAAGCTTTAACTCATTCTTGGTGTATTTTAACATTCTTTTTTAAACTCTTCTCTGAATACGCTATCGAGCTCAAACTTTAGTTACATTCTCATTGTAGATGGCAATACAATGGATGATTCAAAATCTGAGTTAGATTTTTTTTAGATTTAATTTTGAAACACTTTTTTTTTTTTTTTGCGCGTATTTTCGTCTAATGAACTAACTGTCAGAATTTTGCTGTTTGCACTATAGAATAGAGCGAAAAAAATCGTTTGAATGAAGCTTATATGAGATTTTAATATAATTTCTGATTCTTTGGCAATATATCTGGATCTTTTTCGATTGTTTGTTACGACAGAATTGTTAGAAGTAAAAGAGTGATTATTCATTGTTGAAAAATAGTTTTTCAATTTAGTAATTTGATTCATAACGCGTAGTTGAAACTGAAAAGATTAAAATAAAAAAAATAAAAATAAACTCTTCTTGAAACTTATGAAATAATTAATAAATTAAGAGTAAAAAAATAATTTATCATACAGATTTATGAAAGCAAGAGAATAAATAATTCTGTTTGCAAAATACATCTACAGTTGCAAGTCACGAATAATAACGAAACGCCTAAATAGCGAAACCGAATAATTAAATTTCATTGACATTTTAATTCATTAATTCATTATCTTTATAAATTTTTCAAGGGCACCCCACGCTTTTATTATTCGTGATATAAATTTGTAGGTGAATTTTGTAAAGAAAATTATTTAATCGCTTATTCCTATTCATAAATAAATAAGTTATTTGTCTCCTTTCAGTTAATTAATTATTTCATGACTTTTAAGTAGAAGCTTTTTTTATAGATTTTTTTTTATTTTTTCAATATTTATCTTTGTTATCTTTATCGACGTTACAAAACTTTCAATTTAATTTTAATTTGAAAAACTTATTCATGAAAACTGCTTATAATCAAATAACGCAAAAAAAAAAAAAAAAAAAAAAAAAAAGTACTACAGAAATTATGAACCAAAAATTCTTCATTTTTTTAATATTCAGACTCATTGAACATTTGCAACTGATTTATTCTAAAAATGTTCAGATATACTCTGTTGGCATTAAGTGCACTGAATAAGTGATGATTTATAATAATTTTAATTTTTATTCAAAATATGTGTTTGTGAAACAGAAATACAAGGGAAGTATTATGCGGATCCACTTAATATTGCGTGCAATGCATGGAGCAAATTTTTCTGGATTTTAAAGGAAATGTCCGTTTCCCTTGAAAAAAAAATCATTCTAAGCAACATTTAAATTTAGATAAACCATATAAATGCTTCCAATGCGAGTACATTTCGAACATTTTAATGATAAATGCCATTTATCAGTCGCACATAAATTTATGGAGAGAAAAACAAAATCTTTAAGCAAAATAAATTTTAAAAAATTGTGCGAATTTATTAATTTTTTTGTTACCTGATTAAAAATACTTATCGTAAATAAATTTCATTCTAAAATAAAAAAAACTATTAAAACTTAAAGACACCTATTAAAATTAAAACAACTTCATGCTGCAATAATGTGTTAGTTTCGCTTGTTGGGGAAGTTGTTTAAAAGCTTTAGCATCAGTCTTCTTGCTTATTTTTAACAAGTGTCTGTTCTCTCTTAGCATATATGTAAGATAAAAATATATGAATCAAAATTATAGATTAAACTATAAACATTAATTCTTCCTCTCTATTCTAAAATCGTAATAACTTCTTTGCATTGCGTCATTTCTAGATCACTCTATGATCGGCGCAGCTCTGATGACGTAATAATTAAGAACTGAAACTGTCCTTGTAAACCAAAACTTTTCTCTTCGCGTGCTTCCATCTTTCATAACTACGCACTTCAGCTTTTGCCCTCTACTCTGCTAAGATGTAATTTCGCTGGCTTGCTTTCCTTCTCAATTATATCAAAAATGTAATGTTCTTGAATAGGCATAACTAGAGTGCCAAGGTGATTGTGGCCACAAATATCAACTGGAAATAAAAATGGAATTAAAACTCCAAAAAAAAAAAAAAATAATAATATGTAAGATAAAAATATATGAATCAAAATTATAGATTAAACTATAAACATTAATTCTTCCTCTCTATTCTAAAATCGTAATAACTTCTTTGCATTGCGTCATTTCCAAAACTTTTCTCTTCGCGTGCTTCCATCTTTCATAACTACGCACTTCAGCTTTTGCCCTCTACTCTGCTAAGATGTAATTTCGCTGGCTTGCTTTCCTTCTCAGTTATATCAAAAATGTAATGTTCTTGAATAGGCATAACTAGAGTGCCAAGGTGATTGTGGCCACAAATATCAACTGGAAATAAAAATGGAATTAAAACTACCTCGACTACCAATCTTTAAATACTACGCAATCAAAATTCTTCTTCAATATGGATCTAAGCACGCATCTACAGTGTTCCTTCATTTTCCTTTGTGCTTTAATATGACATATATATTCACTGTAAGATCCTGTATAATATCCAGACTTTGCACGAAATTGGTAAGTAGAATGTTGTGCCCTCCCTTTAGCAGAACAATACCAGCTAAGACTGCGAAAGGTAAAAAAAAAAGTCGTATCTAGAAGGCTCTTCCAGAGCGGTGTCTCTGTGTGGGCATTTTGAAGTCCAGCAAATCTCTCCCACATGCTGTGTCCGGTTATAACTCGT